CTGGCTCTTTGCCAGGCTGTCTTTTGACCATGAGCCACAGGAAAATAAATTTTTTTTGTGTGTGTGACCCAGTACACATATTCATCCACACGTAGGAATAAAACAAAACAGAACAAAAATATAGGGAATAGCATTTATTCTTCCTCTGTCTGCTGCACTCTGACCTTTCATCTTCTATTCTAGTCTTTTCTATTTGTTCTCTTTTTAAAAAAAAAAAAAAAAAATTCTGGTTGCACCCTGCAAATAAATTGATTTCACAACCTAATAATGAGTCATGATTCAGTTTGAAAAATACTGGGCCAGATTAACTTTCGGGAGCTGTTTCTCTGTTTGAATAAAGGAAAGGCACTGGAGTTTATAGAGGCCCACCGACCTAGGCACTGCCCTGGCTTTTGAGGTATGCTCATTTGACAGAAAAGGAATCGGAGCCCATGTTCTTATAGTTTGGAAGGGGAGGATCAGCGTTTGAGAGACACATTGAGCAGGCTTATTTCAACTCCCATCTTACCTCAGTTTCATTAAACCAGTCATGGTGGGAGCACTTACACCATGGAAATGGGCAAAGAATGCTCTCAGAGAGTTGGCTGTTGCACATTTACAAGCACATCATCCATTCTAATCCTGTTCTTTCTGGTTCCAAATGCAGCATATTATGAAGCCCTCTGATCTCAACTTCTTAGTCTGTAAAATAACATTAAAAAAATGCCCACTTCATGGGGGAAAAAAAAATTATTCGTTGAGTACTTTCTGGTAAGTAGGAGGCAGAGTGACTGGAAGGAAACCAAAATGCAAATAATTGATTTATTATCATAAAGGGATTTTTATATACATGAAAACTCACAATTTGCAGAAGTGTGGCAAGAATGAGAAGAAATGGAAGGAAAAGATCACTCAGAAAATGGCAGCCACTAGTGGAAAAGAATGAATTTGTGTTTTTCTGTCTGAAAATGGCAAAGAAAACCTAGAAATGAATTGCATTTCAAAGTAGGACTTCTCTTCAAGTAGACAGAGAGAAGGGAGAAGTCTGATGAATATTCTGGTTCAACGACTATACGGATGAACACATCTAATTCTCAAAACCCTAGAGAAAGGACTTTACATTCTCAAAGTTATCCAGTACCAGACAAAGGCACCCAAAACATACATTGGAGAAAAGATAGCCTCTTCAACAAATGGTGCTGGGAAAACTGGAAATCCATATGTAGCAAAATCCATATGCAGCCTAATAGAAGAAAAAGTAGGCCCAAATCCCCACCAGGTTGCCTTGGGAACTGACTTCCTTAACAAGACTCTTAAAGTACAGGAATTAAAATAAATGAGATGGAATCAAACTAAAAATCTTCTTCTCAGAAAAGGACACCATCAATAATGAGAAGAGAGAGCCTACAGAATGGGAGAAAATCTTCATCACATGCACCTCAGATGGAGCATTAATCTCCAGGAAATATAAAGAACTCAAAAAAGTTAATACCAAAACAAAAACAAAAAACAAATAACCCAATCAATAAATGGGCTAAGGAACTTAACAGACACTTCACAAAAGAGAAATACAATTGATCAATAAATATATGAAAAAGTGTTCATCATCTCGAATGATTAGAGAAATGCAAATCAAAACTACACTGAGATTCCATCTCACTCCAGTCAGAATGGCAATTATCAAGAATACAAACAACACTAAATGTTGGCAAGGCTGTGGGGAAGAAGGCACACTCATAAATTGTTGGTGGGACTGCAAATTGGTGCAACCACTCTGGAAAGCAGTACGGAGATTCCTCAGAAAACTTGGAATGGAACCATCATTTGACCCCATCATCCCACTCCTAGGTTTATACCAAAAGGACTTAAAATCAGCATACTACAGTGACGCAGCCACATCAACGTTTATAGCAGCTCAATTCACAATAGCTAAACTATGAAACCAACCTAGGTGTGCTTCAACAGATGAATGGATAAAGAAACTGTGGTATATATACACAATGAAATATTATTCAGTCTTAAAGAAGAATGAAATTATGGCATTTGCCAGTAGATTTATGGAACTGGAGAATATTATGCTAAGTGAAATAAGCCAATCCCCAAAAACCAATGGCCAAATGTTTTCTCTGATATTCTAATTCACAATAATGTGGAGAGAATAGAAGTACTTTGGACTAGACAGAGGTGAGTGAAGGGAGGGGAGGGGATATAGGGGTAGGAATGATAATAGAATGAATTGGATATTATTACCCTGTATGCATATAGGATTACACAACCTGTTTAACTCTACATCATGTACAACCAGAAGAATGAGAAGTTATGCTCCATTTATGTTTGATGTAGCAAAATGCATTCTACTGTCAGGTATAGCTAATTAGGACAACAACACAAAGTTATTCAGTCTTGGGAAGTGTTGCCCATTCATCTGACAGATGCCTCTGCCTGCTGACACCCGCAGTTCCCTGAACCTAAGAAGGCATGGACTCTGACTGCTGGAGAGTGGTCTCAGCCCTGTTTCATTTTTCACCACACTGCTCTTTGAAGCCATACAGGAAAAGTCTACTGCACTTTTATCACCATAGTTACGATGACCACAGTTGAGCTGGTTTCCTATTGTGGCTGTAACACATTGTCTCAAAATTTGTGGATTATAATAAAACAAATGTATTATCTTATAGTTCCAGAGGTCAGAAGTCTAAAATAAGTAGTTAAAACCACTTTAGTCTGGGACAGTGCTGAAGAGATTGGCCAAACATAAAAATGATGAAAGAACTTTTCTCAAATGAATCGTTCTTCTCTTTAAAAGGTTACATGGAGAGAGTGGGAGACTGAAATGGAGACTCATGTTTCCATCCCCAGGGCCTCTTTGCCTATGGATGTCCAATTTTTCCAGAACATTTGTTGAAAAGATTATCATTTCTCCATGGAGTTGCCTTGGCACCATTGTCAAGAACAGATTGAGCAGAGTATGGTAGTGTACACCTGGAATCCTAGCATCTCAGGAGGCTGAGGCAGGAAGGCAAGTTTGGGGCCAGCCTGGGCAACTTAGTGAGATCCCATCTCAAAATTAAAAGTAAAATGGCTCGGGATGCAGCTCAGTGGTAGTGTGTCCCTGGGCTCAATCTGTAGTACTACAACAAACAAACAAAAACCCAATTGACCACATATGTGTGGGTTTATCTCTGGCCTCTGTTTCATTGATTTATTTGTCTGTTTTGATGCCAATAGCACACTGTTTTGACTAATAAGTTTTGAAATCATGAATCGCAAGTCCTCCAACTTCATTTTTCTCTTTTAAGGTGGTTTTGACTATTCCAGATCCTTTGCATTTCCATATGAATTTCAGAATCAAATTGTCTGTTTCAACCAAAACATCCAGCTGAGTTTTTTGTTGTGTTGAGTCTAGAGATCACAACAACATCAGTGAACATGGTATATCTCTTTTATGAATGTCTTCTTTAATTTCTCTTAGCAGTGTTTTAGAGTTTTTGTTAACCTGACTTTAGCTGTCAGTCCCTGGCCTACTCAGGTTTTATACATCATTTATTAGATTTATCCCTAAGTAGTTTATTATTTTTGATGCTAATGTAACACTATTTTAAATTTCAAATTGTTCATTACTGGCATATAGATATATAATTTTATGTATTGAACTCACATCCTATGACCAGGCTACCCTCCCATATCAGTTCTCATAACTTTTGTTTGTTTTTTGGTAGTTTCATAGAATTTTAACATAGATGATGTTATCTACAAATAAGGACAGATTTCTGAGGGGCTGTGTTCAAGAAGTCTACACTGATAAACTCCATTCTTAAGTTGTTGGAGAGAAATAAAGGAACAATCTAATATGAGGATGGACAAATCCTCTAAGTTATTCTCAGGGCAGCAGATCCATAGATCTAGTGGCCTCATGAAGGCTAATGTTAATATGGATTGTTATTCTACTAATATCAGGAGACACTCTCAACACAAATCACTTGATTATCTATGCTCACCATGATTAGGAGCCCAGATGAGTGAAGGCAAAAATATCCAGGTTGGGTTAGAAAAATGTCCACAATTCCTTCTACAGTACCACCTTCTCTCACTCTGTCCTTCACGAAGCCCCCTTCCTGGACTTTGGCTTCTCATTTTGTCCTCTCCCATCCCATCTCCATTGAACCAGGTTGTGTCAAGTGCTAATCATATTATGCTGGGCCCTGCACTTCAGATATAATCCAAACTCCTCACCCAGTCGAAGGCTTCCTGTGACTTTCCCATCCATGTAGGTCAAGTTGACTCCAAGCTGTTCTCCCCACCAGAAGCATCCTCTCCATGCACTCCAAACCCCTCTCCTCGCTGCTACTCACTACCTGCACCCCTTGCCAACTCCTCCTTGTCAATTCTCCTGAAGCCCTTCCTGACCTGGCCTTTTCCTTCCTTCCACTTACCATGCTTATTACTCGATTTTACACTCAAATAGTGCCACAAGAGCCAGGACCAGCTCTTGTGCTCCCCCCACCCCTATCTCTCATTTGAAAGGCAATGGGCCTTTGATGAATGGTTTGAACGACTGCTTGACTCCTTCATTTATCTATATCTGTGCACAACTACCTGCCCCCACTCCACCTGTCTTTGTGAGCAAATCTTAGGATGATACATTGGGGGTTTCTCTTCCTTAGGAAGGGTAGTTCAAACCATAGCTGCAGGCTAAAACCTCTCCAGGTGATTCTAGAAAGTAGTAATGCTTAGACCCCACTCCAGACCATTGAAACCCAAGTCTCAGCTGTAAAGCCTCAGCATTTGTTTTTAAAACTCCCCTGATTCTAATGTGCATCCAGAATTGAGAACCAGTGATACAGAAGGAAAAAGGCTGCTTTCATTCAGCCAGGGATGAAAAGCCTTGGGTGGGCTCACGTGAAACACAGGAGGCACCGCACTGGGGACTTCCCCACCCCGGCCTCCTGTGCGCGCTCATCTTCCTCCTGAGCTGACTCCATTCCGACGCAGCAGGAAGAAAGAAGGGAACCAGACCAGAGTGGAAAGCATTTTCAAACTTTATTTACAACTGTCACAGTGACAAAAAAGTAGTTTGGAAAAAAAAAAATATGCTAGTTTCTCCCTGAGCCTCAAAAAAGAACAGATAGAAGTTACAGGAGGTTCATCTCACAACAGGCGTTTTACTGAAGTACTAGGGTTTTTTTTTCAATACGATCAGTTAGAAATACACACAAATTACTAAAAAAAAAAAAAAAAAAAAAAAAAAAGAAAAAAAGAAAAGAAAAATAAAAAGGAGGCCAGACAGGAGCTCAGCCACTTGTCCATGAGCAGCTGGGCCCCCGCAGCAGGCTCAACTGCTGAGAGGCCTGACTTTAGGTGTCAGCCCCTGGCCTGCTCAGACCACGCAGGGTCGTACAGAGTGGTCTAGTGACCAGCAAAAGGAACAAACCACCCCCATAAACATACATATACACAAAGTCGATTTGATACGCAGTTTACAAGCACGTTCCCATCACACAGCAAGACCGGGACAGAGGATCCAGGGTGGTGGATGAGAGAGGGAGAGACACCGATACACAGGAACTGAAAAGGCAAAGCCCTCATCCACAAAGGGAGGCAAGAGATGAGGAACACTGCGCGGGGACGAGGGTAAAGGGGAACAAGTCTCTGTAGCCAAAACAGAAGGACAGGGGCAACAGGAGAGAGAAGCCCCTCAGAGCGCAGACTGCAGGCCTCTCCCGCTTCTGCCAGGAGCTGGAAGAAGTTATTGCCATCGGTATTTGTATCACAGGCGGACGACAGAAGGAAGGGGGAGGGGGCAAGGGGGGGGGGGGGGACCATGGGCTTCCCAGAACCAAATCCTGCCGACTGCCTGGTCAGCCCCCATGCTCCTGCCCCAATGTGCCTCAGAGCCACACTGCCCTTGAGGTATTAAATACAGCTAGACACACAAGTCCAAAACCGGGGGTCAACCTGGACTGTCCAGAGACCTGAGGGGACATTGTAGATGCCTTGGTTGGTCGAGCGCAACCCAAGAAAGGTTCTGGGTCCACCTCTTGGCTGCACAGTTCTGCTCGGATATAGAGATGCGGGAGAGTCTGTCCTGCAACCTGCTGCTGCAGAAGGTTTTGAGCTATGACGAGAAGCTCTAAGTCCAGAGGCTGATTTCTTCAGGCAGCCGCTGCCCTTGCCGGAAACAGGTGGGAGGAGGACAGGGATGAAAAGCCATCTTCCACAGGGACACAGAGTTCTCCACCCCCACACCTTCCTCCCACCTGCTTCCAGGAACTACATGGGGAGAAGCAAGGATCTCATGATCTGATCTCAGCCTGGATCCCACTGTTATTCCTCGGGAGCCTTGGTACCCCTGGGTAGTAATCCCAGGCTGTGTCAGTCCCTGGGATCTGCACAGAGCTCCCCCTCCACCAAGAACACGCTCTCCTTCTCCTCCCACAAGAGAAACAGGCTAAGAACCTACACAGGAGTGGCTGCTAGTGAGCAGGCTGCAATCCACAGCTGGGGAGGGTGGTAGAGGAGAAGGAAGGGCAGGCTGGGAGCCCCCCTGCTCTGCTGCCTCTGTCCCCCTGGCTCCATTGAACTCTGAGAGCAAGTCTTGGGAGGGGGCAGTGGAAAGAGGGGCCTTCTTGCCCAGGCATCAGCCTTGGGGCCTCCAGCAAGGGCAGGAAGTGCTCTTGCTACTCTGCAAAGTGCCAGCAGGCAAAAAGGGTCCTTCTGGGGAGTAAAGCTCAAAAGCACTGCCTCTCACAAACCTCCAGTCTCCTGGGCTCGGAGAGCAAGCTGCAGCTGGGGGCAAATCCAGGGAAGGACAGGTTTCCTTTCCTGCACATCCCTCCAGCTGGCCCTGCAAGCAGCTCCTTTCTCTTTCTCCCTGTCCTCTCCTCTCCGTCACTGACCAACACTCCTGAACAAAAGGGGAAGGCTGGCAGTGGGTGAGACAGCAGAGCAGAGTGAGATGAAGACTTGGTTTTTCTGATGCCCCAGCAGCCAGTGCAAATCCGCCAAGCACTTCCTGGGTGCAGATCTCTGCTCAATGCTTTCTTAAAAACCCCGTATCTTTCTCTCCTGGTGTTGGCTTTCTTACACCAAAGGTTCCTGGCCGGCTTGCCCATCCCCCTCACCTTCCTGGACCCCCACTGCCTCTGGCTGTTGGAGTTCAGATACTGATCTCAGAAGCAGCACCCCTTCCCCACACCCCCGCCCCCTGCTCTCTGCAGCTTCATTTCTCAGAAGGCCTTGCAAGTTTTTGTCAGAGGGCTCCACTGCTCAGCGGATTTAAAAAAAAAAAAAAAGACAAGAAAAGAAAACCAATTTGGTGATTTGCAGGTGCAAAACGGAAGCCTCGTTTGACATTTTCAGAACGATTGTGGCTCACTCTCTTCTTCCATCCAGATGGGAAAAAATACAGTTCAGGAACAGACGCTGGCTGGCAGGACCCAGGGCACCCACTAGGACCCTACTGCTCCTTGTTTTCTTTCTCTGTCTCTTCGCAGTTGTCGTCGGGCTCATCCTCCTGAACCAAGAACTCCTCGGGGGGCCACCGGAGCTCCCCGCTCTCCACCTCCCCCTCGGTGGGTTCCACCACTATGGAGGGCAGGCGGTCCTTCAGTTTGCAGCAGCGGTCAAAGTCTGACGGGTCGGGGAAAATCTGAAATAAAAGCAGAGCAGGCACCTGGTCACACACACATTTGAAAAGAGAAATTCAGTTCCTTCCTTTTACACACGCATGGCAAGCTGAGTGCTGGCCTTCTGCCAGTGACCGTGCTAAGCCTCTGGGACCCTGGGAGGTAAGGCTGGAGCCAGGGGAATAAGTTTTGAGGGAAACTGTCCCTCAGGCAGACTTTGTTTTAGTCCTGAAGCTAAAAGTTTGCGGGGCAGTAGGAGAGAGCTGGAGAGAGGAGTCCTGGTCTGGGGAACTGGGCTCACCAAATCTCAGACACTCTGCACCTTCAAGGCCATCTCCTCTCACCTCTCCATTTCATAACTGAGGAAACCCAGGCCCAGAGGGGTCAGGAGATTCACTCAAGGTCACACAGCTTGTTCATAGTAAGAAAACAAGTGGAGTGGTGGGGGGGGACACATTAGAAGAGATTCTGGCAGGCTGCTCACTCCTGCAAGCATGGAGACAGGCCCATGGCAGCCTGAGATAGTGCTGAATCTCTAACTGAATTCTTTATTTCCAGATAAAAGAATTAGAAATCATGTCACCACAGTCTTTCTTTGTAGCAAGTATTTTATACCTGCAGAGCAAAGCATGCAAGTACCCAAACATAAAGCTCCTGCCAGAATCGTTAGAGGCACCCAGTAGAAGCAGACAAACTACTAGGTTCTTTATATTGATAATTTCAAGCCAACACAGTTGAAAACAGGTGTTACCCATGCTATCTTAAAGAATCCCAGGCTTGGGCAAGTAAGTTGACTGAGACCATACAGCCTGGAAATGAATGATACTCAAACCAGGTGTGCTTGACACCCAAGCCACAGTACTGCCCTGTCCCTCAAGTAGAGGGGTCCTGACCCCATTGCTACTATCAAGTCAAAGCCAAATCCGGATGAAGGCAGGGCCCCCAGTCACAAGCCTGCTGGAAACAAAATCCAAGGCCCCTGCCTTTTGCACCTGTGAACAACTCTTGGCTTCTTTCCAGCTCTACACCTGGGAGAGTCCACTTCTCGTCCCAGAGTCCCATCAGGAAGGCTGCATTTGTTAACACCTACTGTGTGTCCTGCCCAGAACTACAGAAACCCCGAGCCACGCTATAAAATCAAGGGCCAGTCTGGCTCTTTGGATCCCTATAAGCATACTGCCCTGTGACTACAGCTGACCCAATTTCTTTGTCCAGCAGCTTAAGTACTTAATCTACGGGGCTGCTGGTCCCTTGCCATTCACAGCTCTTGGTGACACACCTGAGAGCAGGAGAGAGGAGTCCTGGTCTGGGAAACTGGGGCTCACCAAATCTCAGACACTCCACACCTTCAAGGCCATCTCCTTTCACCTCTCCATTTCATAGCTGAGGAAACCCAGGCCCAGAGGGGTCAGGAGATTCACTCAAGGTCACACAGCTTGTTCATAGTAAGAGAACAAGTGGAGTGAGTGGAGAACACATTTGAACAGATTCTGGCAGGCTACTCGCTCCTGCTGGATGGAGACAGGCCCATGGCAGCCTGAGGTGGAAATATTCAGGCCCCCCCGCAACTCCTGTGCTGCTCCAAGGACATACAGACTTACTGCACCCCAACTCCAAGCAGTGCTTTCCCAGCCAAGTCACACTCTGTCCATGTTGCAGGCCATGTGGGGCTTCTGGGAGTCACAGGCCCCAAGAAGCCTCTCCAATCCCTGCAGACCAGTGATTATTAACCATTTATCCAATAAAGGCCTATTGCTGGGGATTAAGACTTAAGCCAGCTGCACAGCCAGGCATCATTAAAGACTTAACAAGCCTCATAAAAAAGGATCGTAATAGCAGCCAGAAAGAAAACAAGCTAGAGGAGGGGCTGGCCTGGGGGGGGTCAAAGGCGGCCCAGGGAAGCTGACCCCCATTCTGGGCTTTTCCTTCTGCCTGGCCAACCCTAACGCTCTACCCTTGGACTGCACTGTGCACAGAGGAAGGCAGGTACAGAGCAGGGAGTGGATCAGGTGGGCTATTTGGGCCCTTTGTTCTTTCTCCTGGGGAGTTGAGCCCCACCTGGGGGTGAGGACACAGGCACCTTCCAAGCATGAGCTCTGGGCATGAGCCAGGGCACCTCAAATGAGTGGAAGGCACACAAAGTGCTTTCAGATATCACCTTGCTGAGGACTCATGGCCACCCCTGGGGTAGTAAGACCCTGGGATTCTGAGGGTTGCATGGCAGAGCCAGGATTCCAAACTTGATCTGCTTGTTTCCTGTGCCTGTGCCTTTTGGAAAATGAACAGAACCACAGAACCTAGTTGCCACTAGGTCAACACCCCATTTCCCAGATAGGAAACTGATTGGGAAAGGTGAGCAGGGCTCTGGGTCTCCACTGCCCAGTCAGCTTCTGGATGCCCCAGCCTGGTCTCCAGGATGACTGTCTGGCCAGCAGGGCCCAAAAGATGAGCTTCTCAGTCTGGACACTTGTCCTCATCTCCTAGAACCCGAGGCAGAGCTGTGAGATATCAAGAGGAGATGGCTACCTGGCCCTACACAGCCCCTTTGCCCTGTCTCCATCCTCTGTGGCGGGCCTCCTGTGACAAGGCTGGGAGACATGAAAACTCGATTCTAATTATGATCACCCAAGCCAAGGAAGAGCAAAAGGACAAGAGTCAGGGCCAGGCCAGCAGGAGCCAGAGGACTTTGAAGTGTGGAAAGCATGTGATTTCATTACAAGCTAGGAATAGGTTTTTACCTAAAATAAGGGGAGGAAGACTAAAATAACATTGATGATGATGGATGAGATTTGTGCTAAGCAGAATCTCCATCTTCACAATAATTCTATGAAGTGCTACGATCTTTATTTTATAAACGAGGAAACTGAAGAACATAGAGGGCATATGACTTGCACAAGGCCAAGTCCCTAGAAGGTGGCTGTACTGGGACCCAAATGGCTATAGGACTTCAAAGATGTGTTCAGTTGAGAACACTGGGTCAAGCCACAGAACCGAGATCCTCACTATGTCTTAACATCCATTGCATTTCAAGTCCTCTCAACCCCTCACCTCAGTTTCTCCTTTTGAGAAGTGAAGTGACCTTCTCGTCTCACTAAGTGAGTACAAGTTTTTGACACATATAGAGACTATAAAATACTTTGAAGACATCAGCAATATTCAAATCATAATACCTTCTTTGGAGCAGTCCCAACAGGACTACAGTAAGTGTCCAATCTCCAAGCAAGAGGCAGTAATACTAACACAGTAATTAAAATAACTCCAAACAATGCTTTTCATACCAAGAGCTCCACAATTAAGTCTTTTAAGTCCTTGGGGGAAGTCTGAGCATTGAACTTCTGATACTGCTTCGTTGCCAAAGACCTTTGCTCCCTGCATTGCTCAAAGCAGCAGCCATTAAAAAAAATTGGGGGTGGGGGGGGAGACAAAGTTTGCTAATTATATACTTTAAATCACTGTAATAATTACTCTAATCCATCAGATTTTATTTTATTATCAGATTATAACAAATTGTGCCTCTCAAAGTTGTAGCTCTCTCCAAAAATAAACAGAAAGCACTCAGAGCCAAACAGTGCTATGGTTTCCTTGCAAACAGACAGAAAGCCGGGCAAAGGGTTGCTGAGTCTTTTTCCAGCACAATCTTATCTCCGACAGCTGCTTAAGAGGCTGACCCCAAGGAGGTCAACATTTTTCCACTAAGTCATGCTTTTTAATCATCTAGGCAGCAGAAAAATGAGAGGTTGCAACTGCAATTTGATGGGGTGGGGAAGGCAGTGGAAAAAAGAACTCCTGAGTTGGACTTGCCAAGCACATGACAGGTAGGGCGAGGCAGCCGGCCAGCCCGGCATGCTGCCTGCCTGCAGGAACTGGCAGGGAATGAAGAGCTGCCCCTGTTCCAAAAAGAAACGGCTTCTGGTTAGACCTCCTAGCTCCAAGAGCCCCCCTTTTTTTTTCTGGGATGAAAAAAAAAAATCCTTCCTTCCCTCTGTAGCAAAGGCTCATCTCTAAAAGGGTCAGAAGGAAAGATGGGGAGGCTCTAAGAGGCATTTCCCACCTCATCCCTGGGCAGGGCAGGTCTAGAAGCATCGGCTGTGATTCTCCCAGCCCTATACCCCCTCCTCCTGCCTGCGCTTCCCTCTCTATTGCATTAGATTTCCCCAGCCAGTGGCTTCCATCTAACTAATGGGGACCAAGTTCCCTCCTTTCCAAATAGAATAAAGTTTATCAACCACACACACCAAGAGCATCCAGGTCCTGCATATCTGCGTCCCCCATGTGTGGGACAAATAGGCATTCAACTCTGGTGACTGGGAATTTCACAGGGGACCCCACTGCAGAAGCATCCTCTGCCAACTGGCTTTCGATCCCAATAGGTCCTGAATGTTGAGGACATAAACAGATTCCCAAGGGAGCTTCGGGACAATTTAGGAGGAAGAGACCACCTTACCACCTTTGAGACAGAGTTTGGATGCCATCATACTAGCATTTCTGGCTATAGAGGGCTGCACCATGACCGGATGCTCTCAGTAACGAGAGCATCCCTATGCTGTCCCATTCAACAGCCACGGGTCACTGTGACTACAGCGCACTTGAAATGTAGCTAAAATGTTAAAACTCATGAATATAAATTTATCTATTATTTAGGTAAATATAATATAAACACACATTTAATAAAAATTTCAATCGCTACCTGGGACTAGTGGCTACCACTTTGGACAGATCATGAGCACTATGAAAGCAGCACTGTCCTAGAAGACTGAGAAAGTTTGGTTAGCTGACCAAGACAGGTGGCCCCGGAGCAGAGAACTACAGGGCCGGGGGCAAGCTCCTTCTGAAGATGAAGGATTCATCGGCAGGCTTTTTGCGTGGGCATGGAAGTCACTGGTGAGCCAGCTCCCATTTCATGCACTGAGGGAAACTGAAAGGCAATACCCAGGCTCCAAAGGCCCCAAATTTGGAGACCTAGCTATCAACTGTCTGCCTTTAAGCCAGGTGACCTAAACCTGGCCGCCTCAGGCGTGGGGAG